TGGAACCAAAAGAGAGCCCGCATAGCCAAGTCAATTCTAAGCAAAAAGAACAAAGCAGGAGGCATCACACTACCGGACTTCAAACTATACTACAAGGCTACAGTAATCAAAACAGCATGGTACTGGTACCAAAACAGAGATATAGACCAATGGATATCAGAGGAAATACAACACACCCACAACCATCTGATCTTCGACAAACCTGACAAAAACAAGCAATGGGGAAAGGACTCCCTGTTTAATAAATGGTGTTGGGAAAACTGGCTAGCCATGTGCAGAAAGCAGAAACAGGACCCCTTCCTGACGCCAATACCATATTGAATGGAATCATTTCCTTTGAAAACCAGCACAAGACAAGGATGCCCTCTCTTACCACTCCAATATTCAACATAGTATTGGAAGTCTGGCCAAGGCAATCAAGCAAGAGAGAGAAATAAATGATATTCAAAGAGGAAGAGAGGAAGTCAAATTGACTCTGTTGGCAGTGGACATGATTGTATATTTAGAAAATCCCATCATCTCAGCCCAAAAACTCCATAAACTGATAAGCAACTTCAGCAAAGCCTCAGGATACAAAATCAATGTGCAAAAATCACAAGCATTTCTTTACTCCAACAATAAACAAACAGCCAAATTATGAATGAACTCCATTAACAATCGCTACAAAGAGCATAAAATACCTGGGAATACAGCTAACAAGGGATATGAAGGACCTCTTTAAGGAGAACTGCAAACCACTGCTGAAGGAAATACAAGAGGATGCAAAATGGAGAAACACTCCATCCTTTTGGACAGGAAAAATGAATATCATGAAAATGGCCATACTGCCCAAAGTAATTTATAGATCCAAAACTATTCCCATCAAACTACCATTGACATTCTTCATAGAATTAGAAATATCTATTTTAAGTTTCATAGGGAATCAAAGAAAATTCCATATAGCCAAGATAATCCTAGGCAAAAAGAACAAAGCTGGAGGCATCAGGCTACTTGACATCAAACTATACTACAAGGCTACAGTAACAAAAGCAGCATGGTACTGGTACTAAAACAGACATATAGATCAATGGAGCATAACAGAGACCTCAGAAATAATACCACATGTCTACAACCATCTGATCTTTGACAAACCTGACAAAAACAAGCAATAGAGAAGGATCTCCTATTCAGTAAATGGTGCTGGGAAAACTGGCTAGCCATATGCAGAAAAGTGAAACTGGACCCCTTCTTACACCTTATACAAAAATTAACTCAAGATGGATTAAATACTTAAATATAAAACCTAACACCATAAAAACCCTAGAAGAAAACCTGGGTAATACCATTCAGAACATAGGCATGGGCAAAGGCTTCATGACAAAAACACTAAAAGCAATTGAAACAAAAGCCAAAATTGACAAATAGGATCTAATTAAAGAGTTTCTGCACAGCAAAAGAAACTCTCATCAGTGTTAACAGGCAACCTACACATGGGAGAAAATGTTTGCAATCTTCCCATCTTACAAAGATCTTATATCCAGAATTTACAAGAAACTTAAATTTACAAGAAAAAATAAAGAACCCCAACTTTTTGCCCATCAATAAGTGGGCAAAGGATATGAGCAGACACTTCTCAAAAGACGACATTTATGCAGCCAACAAACATATGAGAAAAAGCTCAATATCACTGATCATCAGAGAAATGCAAAGCAAAACCACAATGAGATACTATGTCACACCAGTCAGAATGGCAATTATTAAAAAGTCAGGGCCGGGTGCGGTGGCTCAAGCCTGTAATCTCAGCACTTTGGGAGGCCGAGGCGGGTGGATCACGAGGTCAAGAGATCGAGACCATCCTGGTCAACATGGTGAAACCCCATCTCTACTAAAAATACAAAAAAAATTAGCTGGGCATGGTGGCGCGTGCCTGTAATCCCAGCTACTCAGGAGGCTGAGGCAGGAGAATTGCCTGAACCCAGGAGGCAGAGGTTGCAGTGAGCCGAGGTCGTGCCACTGCACTCCAGCCTGGGCAACGAGAGCCAAACTCTGTCTCAAAATAAATAAATAAATAAATAAAGTCAGGAAGCAATGGATGCTGGTGAAGCTGTGGAGAAATAGGAACGCTTTTGCACTGTTTGTGGGAATGTAAATTGGCTCAACCATTGTGGAAGACAGTACGGTAATTCCTCAAGGATCTAGAACCAGAAATACCATTTGATCCAGCAATCCCATTATTGGGTATACATCCAAACGATTTTAAATCATTCTACTATAAAGACACATGCACGTGTATGTTTATTGCAGCACTATTTACAATAGCAAAGACATGGAACCAACCCAAATGCCCATCAATGATAAACTGGATAAAGAAAATGTAGTACATATACACCATGATTTCATGCAGCCGTAAAAAGGAATGAGATCATGTCCTTTGTAGGGACATGGAAGAAGCTGGAAGCCATCATCCTCAGCAAACTGACACAGGGACGGAAAACCAAACACGGCATGTTCTCACTCAGAAGTGGGAGTTGAACAATGAGAACACACGGACACAGGGAGGGGAACATCACACAGACTGAGGCCTGCTGGGGGCTAGGGGAACTTAGAGGACAAGTCAATAGGTGCAGCAGACCACCACGGCACATGTAGACCCATGTAACAAACCTGCACGGTCTGTACTTGTATCCCATTTTTTTAAAAAAAGAAATTTATTTTAAAAAGCAACCAGAACTAATCAATGAGCTTATCACATGAAGATTTCAGGATTCAGATCAATATAGAAAAAAGTCAATTGTTTTTCTATATGTTAGCAATAAACAATAGGAAATTGTAAGTGCCACGTACCGTATCTACAAAATAAAATACTTATGGACACTAAATGCTGCAAAACACTATTTTAAAAAAATAGACATGAATAAGTGGAGAGATAGACCATGTTCATGGTATTTTATATTCAATATCATTAGCATGTAGATTCTCCCTGAATTGATCTATAGATCAATGCAATCCCAATCAATACTAGCAGGATTGCTACAGAAATGGGTAAGTCACATCTAATATTGATTTATTTGTAAAAGCAAAGATCTAAAATAGCTCAAAACATGTTGAAAAGGAAGAATAAAAGGGGAGGATTTTATATAATCTGATTTCAAAACTGCAGTAATCAAGAAAGCTTCATATTGATGAAAGGAAAAAGACATCAATGGGATAGAACAGAGTCCAGAAACAAACCAACACAACACAAATGTGGTTAACTGATTTTTAAATATACAAATAATTTTTAAGCAGAAAATGTAGTTCAACAATAGTACAAGAACAATCAGAAATTCATATGCAAAATTTTTTAAAAATCCTTGTTCCTATACTGCACTACATATAAAATTAACTCAAAATGGATCCTGCATATAAATGTAAAACATAAAACCAAACTTCTAAAATAAAGCAGGAGAAAATCTTTGAGACTTTGGGTTAAACATAGAAATTTTGGAAAGGACATGAAAAGCACAATCCATGAAAGAAAAGATTGATAAATTGGACTTCAAAATTAAAAGCTTCAGTTCTTCAAATACAATGTTAAGAGAACAAGAAGACAAGCCACATAGTGGCAAAAAAAAAAGTTTGTTTGTTTGTTTGTTTGTTTTCAAAACATCTGACAAAGAATTTTCCTTTGGGAGGCCAAAGCAGCCAGATCATGACAGCCAGATCATAAGGTCAGGAGATGAGGACCATCCTGGCCAACATGGTAAAATCCCAACACTACTAAAAATACAAAATTTAGCTGGGTGTGGTGGCGCACCCCTGTAATTCCAGCTACTTGGAAAGCTGATACAGGAGAATCACTTGAACCCAGGAGGTAGAGGTTGCAGTGAGCCAAGATCATGCCACTGCACTCCAGCCTGGTGAAGAGCAAGACTCCATCTCAAAAAAAAAAAAAAAAAAGAGTATTTTCAAACGGAACTCTCAAAACTCGATAAAATGGTAACAATTCATCCAATTATAAAAACAGGGGCAACAGATTTGAACAAAGAGGTCCCCAAAGATTATATGTAAATGGCAAATAAGCATATGAAAAGATGCCTAATGTCATTAGTCGTTAGGGAAACGCAAAGTAAAATCACAAATGAAATAAAATACAACTCCAAGACAATTTACTAAATAAAAATGTTTTTAATTGACAATGCAAACTGCTGGTAAGGCTGCAGTTCACCGGAAACTTCTGTTCACTGTATGGTTGCAAAACTGTTCATACAGCTGCTTAGCAAAAGCTTGCCAGCTTCCTACACAGTGAAAAATGCATTCACCGCATGATTCAGCAACCCCACTCCTAGGTATTACACAATCTTTATGTCAATGGATGGCAGCTCTTTTTAAAATATTCCAAAATTGGACCCAAATGTCCTTCAATGGGGAATGAATAAATGAGTTGTGGTACATCCGTAAAATGGAGCACTACTTGGCAATTGAGAGGAATGAGCTGTTGGTGCACACAGATCGGTGAACCTCCCATGTGCCACAGGGACAGGCGCACATACTCCATAACTCCAGGCTTATGACACTCTGAAAAGGGCAAACCAGGGGACAGAAAACAGACCAATAGCTGCCAGGTCATGCAAGTGGCAGGTGAATAGGAAGGTGACCACAGAGGGGCCCTAGGGAATTTGGGGGGTGGTGGCTGTTCCATACCTTGGCTATGCTGGTAGTTACATGGCTGTGTGTTCCCAAAACTCCTAGAACTGGACACTGAGAAGGATGAGTTCTACTGTGTATAAATTATAGCTCAAGTTTTAAAAAGAAGATAAAATGGCCCAAGAAGGAAACAGCAGCCTGAAGTGGTGAGCTGGGTGATTCTTCCTGCATATGAGAACCAAAAAACTGAATAAAATTACTACGAGTATTGAAAGCACCCATGAAGGTCCTTGAAAACTCCCACAGAAGACAGGAGCACAGGAAGAGTCGACTGTTTACAGACTTCACAGAAAACGATGCACCTCCAGCCCTCTGCCTGGACACACCTCACCCACCCCTGCTGCGGCTGCCAAAAACCAGAGCCTTTCTGTTCAAGGCAGCAAATGACTGTGTGAGCAGCTGAGCATCTAGAAAGGGAAGGGGGAAATTTTGAAAGTGAGAAAGCGCAGAAAGGCTGAGATGCACAGTCTGATGGGGAAGATCCACTGGCTCTCCTTAACCACAATTACACATTTGCATACATTTGCCAAAACCCTCAAGTTCAAAACATATGTAAATTATATCCTCATGCTGTTGAAATAGCTCTCTGAAGAAAAAAAGTCCTAAGATAATACGCGCTGTAGCTGGACTACCCGAGATGCTGGCTGGGACAAGCAGAGACGACACAAGGCCACCCCAAGTCCAGTCATCTTCAGAACGCAGCCCAGGATCCAAGGACTCTGTAGCAACACCTCACCCAGCTGAAAACCACAGTACCTGGAAACATCACCCACCCAGAAGGCAGCCACAAGCAACAAAGAAGCTCAACGACACATCACAAGCCCATGTGTTGAAGCTCATGTACTTTGTCAACGAGGATTTCAAGAGAGGAGCCTCTACTCACACATCACAGGCACTCACACAACACAGGCGAGCTTCACTCTGCTTCTCTCCCTGCTGCAGAGCAGAAGCCGCGTGTCAGAAAGGTGTGAAGAAGCTGCTAGAAGCACACCAACAGCAACCATGGGGATTCCAGGGAGAGGAGAGACCAAAACACTGCAGAAAGCACAGCAGGCTGGAGCCATTTTGAACAAGAAAAAGCCCCAGACGCTAGCCGTCCTTGAAAGCATCAAACAGTGCAGCAAAGGGAGTCTCGAAGTGCAAAGTCATGACTGATTTATCAGGGAACAGGGCTTTACAAAGGAACTGAAGACCAGGCATGGTGGCTCATGCTTGTAAACCCAGCACTTTGGGAGGCCAAGGCAGGAGGACCACTGGAGCCCAGGAGTTCAAGACCAGCCTGGGCAACACAGCAAGACCTAATCCCTACAAAACAAAACAATAAAAAATTAGTCAGGCACGGTGTTGCATGCTGGTAGTGCCAGCTACTGAGGAGTCTGAGGGTGCAGTGAGCTGGGATCACACCCTTCACTCCAGCCTGGTTGACAGAAGGAGACCCTGTCTCAAAAAATAAAAAGTAAAAATGAAGTGATTGTAGATTAATCACAGGGACATCAGATATATGAAAATTTCACTTTTGCAAAACATCTTTGCTTAAAAAGGAGACAAGTGAGGCATTGATGCATTTGTATTTTATTACACTGTTCTCACTAAAACCATCCAATGTAGCATGCAGCATCATTCAAAGCATGTGGTAAACATGAGTCCTAAGCACCACCTCTAAAGCTAAACACTAAACACTACTTGCAAAAACCTAATTACTTCTTTTAAAATGTCATAAAATATTCTCTGAAACATTTCACAGAAGCACTGGACTGGAAATACAGGCACAAGGTGACACATTACTTGTTGCTGTTTTTCAAGGGTCACTGCAGCTGATGTGAGGCAACACTAATAAAGCCTCTCTTTTCACTTTGCTCCATTTACCACTGAAGAAATAGATTCTCCAGAAACATCCACCTCAGTCACATGACTCAGTATGGAGATGAGAGAATGAGGTTGCTGGATGTTTCCTCCTATCCACTGTCAATCTTGTCCATTGTCAATCACGCTCTGAGCCTTTCTCCACCACGAGGGGTCTGATTCATCAACCTGGCAGGTTTTCCCAGGTGCCAGCCGGGAGCTGCTGCCGGATTTGAATGGCACCTCTTTCTGTGGTTCACCCTAGATTAGCTGGACCCTGTTCATGCTGTTTCTGAATTAACTGTCTGAAACTTCCACTTTCTCTTGACCACACTGCCGTCTAGAGACTGGACAGAGGGAATTAAAGGTATCAGTTGTCATCAGCCCCAAACTTGATTTCTTGTGGCTGGTGAAAGGCAATGTTTCACTTAGGTGAGGCTATTTGGCAATTTTCTTCCTTTTTAGTTATTCAGGTTATCGATAAAGGAAAAACAGAAGGTAATTCTACATACATCAGTGTTCACATTCATCTCCTACTTTAGTTTATATTTCCAAGTTATAAATAACAATCTAGTCTTGACAAAATAGACCTAGAAAGGGAATGTCGCTAATAATTCAGTAGAAGGTACACTTTTCCTCAGTCTACACTATAATGTTTAGGAGGCCAGAATGGGGGTAAGAGCTGGTCACAGTCAGGTGTTCGCTGTGAAGACTTCTTCCGTTGTGAGTACAGTACAGGCAGAAGCACTCTGAAATTACAGGAAGGCCATGTCTATTCTAACAATGACTCACTCTTTCTCATGCATCAGAATTCTCTTTCCTTTCTACAGGAATTTCTAAATTTCCTTTCTAAAGGAATTCTACAGAGAATTCTACAGAGAATTCCTTTCCTTCCTACAGGATGAAGGAAATGAAATCTCTTTTAAATCAAAATTCTTACTTGTGATTATCAAAAGTGCTTACTGGTAAGATGATAAGGTTTCAGTAAATACTGATGATAATGTAATAAATAGAAAAGGCAAGTGTAAGCATGACAGGAAAATGTTTCTAAAAACAACTTAAGAAGGAGGATTACTAGGTCCTTCCTTTATGAATTGACCATCACCTTTAAAGTGGGGCTCTTCAGGATCAGAAACCAGGAAAAGAAAAGCAGGAAGTGAAATAATCTGCAAGGCATGAGGTGAAATGGAAACAGTTCTTCAATACATTAGGCACAATGGAAGAACACAGGAAAATAGAGTTCTTTTCTAAAAATGGAGGAAACTTTCCATGGCAGAGACAGAAAACTAAAAAGATCCTGATCCTTGTTTTAAATTTCCTGCAAATGTCAAACATCAGCAAATCACCAATTACCTTTTGAGGTAAATACCTACTCTATGACCAGGGTTCTACAGGTCAGCATCACCGGCTACCGGGGAAATGTAAGGTATGTTCTCTGCACTCAGAGTACTTGCAATCATACTGAGTGACTAATAAATTAATCTGAAACTCACACCAAAGGAGATAGTATAGGCCGAAGTGTCCAACTATGTTAATACAGACTAAGTTTTTCAGGATTTCAGAAGCTACCAAAGTTTGGAGTAGTCAGGGTAGTTTCACAGACGATATTAGACTTATGTGGGGACAGTAAAGGTTTCAAACAGAGCACTGACACAAAGGGACAAACACGGAAGAGTCACCTGCATGCAAGGGTGCATGGAGTCAGAGGAGCACAAAGCCAGGGGCTGCCCTGTATCAGCCAGTATGAGGCCATCAGAAGGGAAAGGGAGGACATGGCGCACTGGAAGAAGAAACCTGCAGAATGGCTGGCTGGAAACAGGTGTGCTGTAAAAAGAGGCACGAATATCAGACTCAGGCCTCGAGGGCCTGGGCAGCTGAGAGAATAAAGGTGCAAGTGATGGAGAAGAGGACGAAGGTGTCTGCTGGCTTAGGACACTGGACTTGAGATGAAGCCGCATCTTGAAATGGAAATGCAGAGGCAAATAAAGTCCTATGGTCAGACTGTACACTGCAGAAGTTCTGCAAAAATGAAATGCAGCAGAGGTTTCATTGAAGAGGGACTGAAATAGCATTCAGAAACAGAAATGGGATAAACAAGACAACTGAGATTATGTTCAGAGTCTTCAGGGTAAACCCACCTACAAAATGAAGCAGTGAGGAGGAGAACCCACAAAGATAGGACATGAGGTCTGTGTTTGGGGCTGCAGCCAAGATGGGGAAGCCAGCACTGAGATGTGAACAAGAGTGTGTCACAGAATGGAGAAGTCACCTCCAACAGATGGACAGGCAGGGTCCACAAAAAACACCCAGAGACTACAAGGATAGAGTAGATAATGAAGTAATCACTGAATTCAACCATTAAAGATGGAAAGGTTATGAGAAAGAAAGGCAACACAAGACTATCAGGGGTAGAGCCACATCTCAAGGGGCTGATGAGAAAATAGAGAGAAATTAAAATTATTACATATCAATTATTGGCATGGAAAAGCAACTGAAAGAATCTTCACATGGAACTAGTCACAAAGCAAATGACAGTAACTATTTTAGGTTAATAAATGAATATAACTGCAGGAACAAGGTGGTGGGCACATATGCTGGAAGAGCCAGGAACAGCTTTTCAAAGTAGATGATGCCTCTGCTTACCAGTGAGCAGAACCAAAGCCCTAAGAGAGCGGAATACTCCTGACACTAACAAGGCAGCACAGACAGAGGCCCAGGGACTCTTGAGAGTTAAGGAATGAAGACATCTTAGAGGAAAATGGAGAATGGGTCATTTAGGAAAGAAGGGTCTAACAGTTTGTGTTCCCCCAAAATGTATGTGTTGAAATCCTAACCCCGCCTCCCCACATTAATGACATTACAAGCCTGGGCCTTTGAAAGGTGAGCAGGTCAACAGGGTGGAGTCCCCATCATGGGATCAGTCCCTTCTAAAAGAGACCCCAGAGAGCTAGTTTGCCCCTTTCACCAAATGAAGACAGGAAAAGAGCATCATCTATTAAGCAGGAAACAAGCCCTCCCCAGACCGAGCCTGCCAGTACCCTGACCTTGGACTTCCCAGACTCCCAGACTGGAGGAAATACATTTCTGTTGTTTATAATAAGCTTCCAACTCTGTGGTATTCTGCTATAGCAGCCTGAATGAACAAAACACAGGGGAGCTTGTTTACTTCTGGGGCTTAAAGAAGCCATCCAACTTAAAAGTTAACCACACCTGGAATGCTGAACAAGAGGTCATCTCAGCGTCTTTCCAAGGCTGAAACAGTCAAACCTACATTGTTTGCATTTAAAGGTGCAGTGTCTGACTTTCACCCCAGAGTTCAGAAAAACTGCCAGAAGGCAGTGAAGGGCAACTTTTATTTATTTCCAGCAACACCGGGATTTGCTAAAGATAGATGAAAGGGATGGCACAGAGGTGGTTTATTTGGAAAGAGTGGGAAAGGTCCAGCCCAGAACACACAGATTAAGATCCACAGATCGAGAATCATTGCATTCAAACTATGCAACTTAAGTGCCTTGAACAGCATCAAGGGTCTGAGAACTAAGCATGACTTTCCATGAACTACAAATCACATTCGCTTCATCTCCACACAGGAAAAACAAATGACATCTTTCTTAGGAGAGCTCTTCTGAGCTGATCTCACATAGCATTTCCATCAGGAACTTAGGAACGTGGTGTTGAGGGGACACTGAGATAGGAAAAGCTCAGCTGAACCCCAAGAGTTCCTGCCGCGTCTTCCAGGAAGTCGGCAAGGACAGCTGAACCTCAAAATGGGCTATACCCAGTAGGGTCCCATCAGCCCAGGGCTGGGAGCCCAGGAGTCCTGGGGGAGACAGGGGTATCTGGAGAACCATGATCAAAAAAGGAGAGGCACTGAGCACGGCTGGGTCAGCACGCACACTGCAAGGAAATGGAGGCAGCTCAGCCTCGGAGGAGCCTGTGAGCTCCCAGTGCAGAAGCCAAGGACCAGTAAACATGGAGCCCGCAAGCTCCAGCTCCGTGCTGGGCTCTGGCCCAGGAGCCACCCAGGCCAAGATTCTGATGCTACGTGGACACACCTTCCCACAGGGATTTGATCCCTTTTGTCCTAAACATAAAAATACAGCTGTTGTTTTTCTACTGATGTGTTACAATTATGGAGATATTTTTCTTCTTCATTTCTGATTCATAAACATTAAAAAATGTGTTCTACTTCTAATATTTTCTCTTGTCAGTTCTCAAACAATGACAACAGCTCATGATCACTGAGCTCCTCCTACGTACCCAGAGCTCACCATTGATTCACCTTATACGCCCCTCCCAGTAGCCCTTCAGGGTGCTCTCCCCATGCAGTAGAATGAGAAAGCCATGGCCTGGGACAGGTTACACGCTTAGGTCACACAGACAGGGAGCAGCACAGACCTGCTCTCTCCCTGCCCTGCAGTACTTCAGTTCACAACCTGGTATTCTAGGATATCAGCAGATGCTAGAAGAACTCCTACTTCAATGAGTCCTGCTAGAATGCAAGACTGGAGTTGGAAGTGAACTGTTTTTGTACTGTGGATGTATATGCTATCACCACCGCCCTCATCTAACGCATGACTTCCCAAAAGGTGGTCTGTGGACTCCTGGGGGTCTATAGAACCTTCGAGGGGTCAGTGCGGTCAAAACTATGCTCATATTAGTACTAAGAGTCCTTTGCCTCCTTCCTTGTGTGCCATTTGCATTGACAGTACAACAACAATGGCAGGTAAAGCTATGGATGCCTGAGGACAAATCAAAGCCACTGCCCTGCTCCGGCTGTACTCACTACCACCGAATCACTCACTGCCACACACTTGCAGGGCTTGAGAAAATGCCAGTGTCACTTAAAATGTCCTTCCTGAAGGAATGACAATTAGGAATGTGATTAAACACTGACCCTGAGTACATGACCTTCGTAATAACCTGTGTAGGGAAATGAGAAGAACTCATGAAGCACTTCTGGTGCACACTGAAGCAACACGATTATCTCAAGAAGCAGCACTTGCGTGAGTGTGCACACTGCAAGCTGAACTAGCCACTTGTTTCACGGAGCTACCTTACTTGAAAGAATAAGTAACCTACAAACTGTAGTTACTAATTCTTGGGTAGTTAGCAGGCATTTTCTCAAAATGAGACTATTACTTCTATAAAAACAACTAATAGTATTTGTGTTAAATAATAAAACTTGAGCGCTCAAAAAAATGCAGATTTACAAAACATGCACGTGTTTGACAGTGTCCCAATACTAAAAGTCTTTTCTAAAGCTATTGATGAAAATATTAATGCATGTGATGTTTTTAATACTGTATAATTAAACATGCCATATATTTGCATAACTCATTGAACATTTACATAACTCAATGAACCAAAATTTTCCAAATGATCAATGCATCATGTTCCAAAATACTGCATCAGTAAAAATGCATTCAAAGTACAGGATATAAAAATAGATTTTAATGTAACAGAGAATAAAAAGTTCACTGATATGGTTTCTGATTTTGTAACCAACCTTTAAGAAGCTATCATTTGTCAAGTTTTGGTATCGTACCAAAGAATATCTACAGTTATCAGCAAAGTCTATTAAAATCTCTCTCTTTTTCAAGTATATATTTATGTGGTATTTTTATACAACACAAGCGAAAATAGAAACATTGCATTAAAAATACACTTCAGGGCCGGGCGCGGTGGCTCAAGCCTGTAATCCCAGCACTTTGGGAGGCCGAGGCGGGTGGATCACGAGGTCAAGAGATCAAGACCATCTTGGTCAACATGGTGAAACCCCGTCTCTACTAAAAATACAAAAAATTAGCTGGGCATGGTGGCACGTGCCTGTAATCCCAGCTACTCAGGAGGCTGAGGCAGGAGAATTGCCTGAACCCAGGAGGCGGAGGTTGCAGTGAGCCGAGATCGCGCCATTGCACTCCAGCCTGGGTAACAAGAGCGAAACTCCGTCTTAAAAAAAAAAAAAAATACGCTTCAAGCCCCTGTGCCCATAACCTGGCCTCTGTCCCCACACCCACCACCTTTCTGCACAGCCTCTTGTCTCTGAGGAGAGCAACAGTCTAGATGTGGTGATGTGGTCTACACCTTGCTGCATCTCAGTGTCTGAACCTGGCACAGAGCGTGGCATGCCTGATAGGCATTAGATGCAGAAGATACCTTCACCTGATACTTGGAATTCATTTAAAACATTTCTGTTGTAATAGAGATATAACTGAACTTTTTTTTAATTGTACTTTAGGTTCTGGGGTACATGTGCAGATCATGCAAGATTGTAGCATAGGTACATACATGGCAATGTGGTCTGTTGCCTCCATCCCCCTGTCACCTACAACTGGCATTTCTCCACATTATCCCTCCCCGACCTCCCCACCCATCCCTGCTGTCCCTCCGTTGGCCTCCCCAACAGACCCCAGTGTGTGATGCTCCCCTCCCTGTGTCCATGTGTTCTTTGTTCAACACCCGCCGGTGAGTGAGAACATGCAGTGTTTGATTTTCTGTTCTTGTGTCAGTTTGCTGAGAATGATGGTTTCCAGATTCATCCATGTCCCTACAAAGGAGACGAACTCATCGCTTTTTATGGCTGCATAGTATTCCATGGTGTATGTGTGCCACATTTTCCCTGTCCAGTCTATCATCGATGGGCATTTGGGTTGGTTCCAGGTCTTTGCTATTGTAAACAGTGCTGCAATGAACATTCGTGTGCATGTGTCCTTATAGTAGAATGATTTTTAATCCTTTGGGTATATACCTAGTAGTGGGATTGCTGGGTCAAATGGAATTTCTATTTCTAGGTCCTTGAGGAAGTGCCACACTGTCTTCCACAATGGTTGAGCTAATTTACACTCCCACCAACAGTGCAAAAGTGTTCCTATTTCTCCACATCCTCTCCAGCATCTGTTGTCTCCAGATTTTGTAATGATTGCCATTCTAACTGGTGTGAGGTGGTATTTCAATC